TTTCACATGAAGTGAGACGGTTGTTGAGAGGAAAAGTTTTTGGTTTTTTTGAGAGGAAAAGTTTTAAAGCGTGTTTTTGAACTTCGTGATGAACTCAAAACGTTTTTTAATCAGAAAGCAAAACTGCAGTTCGCTGAAAAGTGCTTACTTTTCAGCGATAAAAGTGAACTGCAGAAAATAGCTTACTTGGTCAACAGATTTGCCATCTTGAATGAGTTAAATTGATCACTGCAAGGACCAACTGCAACATGCCTCGATTTGTCTGAAAAGATCCGATCATTCCAAATGGAACTTCAGCTTTGGAAAAAAAAATTGGATGAAAATAAAATTTATATGTGGCCTACCTTATCTTCTTTCTTTGAGGAACATGACATTGAACCAGACAAAAGGATTACGATGACAATTTCTGTGAAAGGACACTTGCACGTGCTTGCAGATGAAATGTCATCGTACTTTCCAAATCTACCTGACGCCCCATTTGCACCTGCCAGAAGCCCGTTCACAAAGTGGAAGATGCTCCTGAGACGGCACAGGAGGAGTTCATTGAACTTATTAACAGCGATGCAGCGAGAACTGATTTCTCTACCATGCCACCTACAAAATTCTGGATCAAGTGTTTGCAGTCATATCCTGTTGTCTGAGACTGTGTTGCACATTCTTCTTCCATTTCCAACAACATATCTTTGTGAAGCAGGGTTTTCCAGCTTGTTGGTTATCAAGTCTAAATACAGAAGTAGACTTGCTGTGGAAGATGATCTTCATTGTGTCTTGCAAAACTGCCCCGAGAATTTCTGATCTCGTGAGAAAGAAGCTATCTCAACCTTCGCACTGACGTTGGCTTTTTACGCATACTGTGGCAAACGGTAGCAATGTAGTTTACTGTTGTTATATTAAGACTGTTACCCATGCTCCACCACACTTCAAGACAAAATTTCATTTATTTGTAATTAGAAATAAATATTTCACAATTATATATTTTTATGATTAATCACTATGCTTTAATGATGTTCAATTTGTAACAATGAAAACACATCCTGCATATCAGATATATACATTAGATTCATAACAGTAGAAAAATTACAGTTATAAAGTAGCAAAGAAAATAATTTTCTGGTTGGGGGTCACTGCAACATGAGGAACTGTCTGAAAGGGTCACGGCAAAAGGAAGGTTGAGAACCACTGCTTTAAAGGGTTCAAAAGCAAGATGCCACTTTGAGAACTAAGGTATACCTGACCCAAACCATGCTATCTTCAACCACTTCATATGCATGTGAAAGCTGAAACCATGACTACAGAAGCCAGAACCGATGCCTGTGGTGCTGGCGATAAGTATCGACTATCCCACAGATTGCCAGAACAAACAGGCAAGAACAGGTCTTGGAAGAAGTACCGCCAGCATACTCCTTGCAAGCAAAGTTGGCAAGACTCTGTCTCATGTTAGCAGGAGGGTCCGTCCCTGGAAAAGGGCATCATTCTTGATAAGAGTTCTCAGTGTGGACTGGTACAACAGCTCAAGCAGCATCAACTGTGAGGGCGGCGCAGGACTAGGCAATGTCTTGTTCTGCTGTATAGGAGGTAGCTGAGTCCAATCCAACCGGATGGCACAACCTAACAGTGACAAGAACAATGAGTCTGGGATAACTGCAGGACTGTATGCCCGTGGCTCCTGCCTTAGGGGGTCTGGTGCTGTCAAAACGTGACGTAAGACTGTAGCACATTGCCAGCAGGTGATTGCGAAGCACACTAAAGCTTGAGATCATTGAGAGAGGGTCTAGGAGTTGTTTCTTCTGGTTTTGTTGCTTTGAAACCAGCAACTACTCTTCTGAATTCCCAATAAGAGACATGCACTGGTGGCACCGTGGCTAAAAGCTTTGCCACAAACCCAAAGGTTAGCTGTTCAAACCCACCAGCTGCTCCACGAGCGTTAGAGTGGCACTTTCTTTCCATAAAGATTATGCCCTTGGAAACTACAGGGTTAGTTCTCTTCTGCCTGTAGATTCACTGTGAATCAGAAAAAAATGTGACCACAACAGGTTTCGTTTGATAGATTGCTGAGGAAAACTGGTGATACGCTATGGGCATCAACTTCAGGATTCAGTCATATTGCCTTTGACCAGTCAGCAGGAGGAACAAGCATGTTTGTGGCACTGATTTAACCCTTTTATGTCTAATTCAAGTTCTTCCCTTTATGTTTTCATTTGTTATCAAAGGTACCAACTTCTAGAACTTTCCTCAAAACAGAACCGTCTAGACCAGGTGTCCTCAAACTATGGCCCATGGGCCACATGCGGCTCGCCAAGGACATTTATCTGGTCTGCCAGCTATTTTTGCCCGGTTTGTTTTTTTACTTCAAAATAAGACATGTGCAGTGTGCATAGGAATTTGTTCAGTTTTTTTTTAAACTACAGTCCAGCCCTCCAACGGGTCTGAGGGACAGTGAACTGGCCCCCCCATTTAAAAAGTTTGAGGACCCCAGGTCTAGACCATTGACTCTTAGTTCATTTGTACGTGTCTTTACCTCATTTAAAGTCTCATTTAGCTTGAGATTGCCAGAGCAACTGTACTTAAATAATTTAGACTTTTTAGCCAATCTTACTCTATTTTTGACTCATTTTAAAATGGCGTGGGGATGGCATCTGACCTTCTCGAATGTCATGAGAGAATCGTTATTTCTAACAGCCACCCAAAGCTGACTCCTATGAGACAGAGGTCAGCCCTGCTTCCATCTTCCAACTTAAAACAAACAAACAATTCTGACCCTAACTATCCCTCCCACGGCACCCTCGACTTCTCTACTAAATTTGATGTCATTACAATGGCCACACAGAACTCAGAGCCAATACGCACGATTATGAGGTTTATTAGGGAAGTAATAGGTAACGATTCAGGTTCATGAACACTCATAATAGTTATTCCATCTGGACAGCCTCTTCTCAGCCATACGGGGATACCACTCTCTGGCTCTCAAACCCTTGGTCCCACAGTCTAGTCACTGGCCTCCTTCAAGCAAGTGTTACCCTACTCCAGTAAGCCTCAGCTCCGAGGTGCTGAGCCCTAGATCCATGGGTCCCCACGCTAACCACCAAGTCCTCAGAGACATCCCACTCCATCGGCACACCTCCTGCCCAAGGGCATTCAGCTTCTCCTCCCCTGGGCTGGGAAACCCACCTGTCCTGTGGCCTCTTGCTTCTGCTTTGTCTGCTGCCACCATTTCTCTGCCAATGTACCTTGCCATCTCTGGTGTCAAGCTCTTGTCTCCTGGAGAGGTCCAGTGCAGTGATCTTGGGCCAAAAGTATATGCTCCCCTCCTGGCTCTTCTTTCTTGATGGTAGCGAATGCCCCACTTCCTGCCTCATAGACAGTGAGTTTTAAGCCTGGCAGGAGGGTAAAACTGGCCAATCCCCATTTAGGGTTCCATATACCTTCTTTACCCAGGCAGTCCCCAAAGGGGATATACATTATTTTAGTGTATGTGCTACTGAAGCAAACACGGTGATAGACATTATTAGCAAGCTGTCTAATCCCTTTGGTGGACTACAAGCACCTCTCATTTGCATAATCCGAACTAGTCATGTGGTGGGAATTACAAAGAATAAAGCTCACTGCCATCAAGTGAATTCCAACGGAGCAGACTGCCCTGTGGGTTTCTGAGACTGCGTCTTTACAGGAGTGGAAAGCCCAGCGTTCTCCGGCAGTGGCTGGTGACCTTGTAGTTAGCAGCTCAATACGTGACCTATCAAGCTACCGGTGCTCCTATCCTAAAGTTAGATGAGCTGTACTAACTCTCTCCCTGCACCGCAGCTCACCTGACAACGTGTGGCCACAAGAATGTAAACCTGTTGAACCCAGATCTGACCGGTTTTATCAGGAGTACCTCCACACCTGGAGGGTGGGAGAAGGGAGGTGTGGTCACCCTGGAAGACCCAAACGTGCACTCCAAAGGTCACACAGGGGCTGCAGCCTGCAGCTCCTCCTCCGGTCTGAGGCAGTACCGCTTCTGTGCATCTAGGGCTCCACACACCTCGCAGTGTTCTGATGAAAGCAGCCACGTGGTAGGCCTTCTCGTCCATTTCAACATGATGCCAGCATTGGCATGATTCCCCATCCTTCTCAATTCTTCCTGCGGGGGCACTGGCACCTGGAGAGAACAGGAGGCTAGACTAGCAGAGAGGTGAAGGCAGGAGCGAAGTGGTACCCAGCCTCCAAGAAGCAGATCGAGCCCCATCTGCTCTTAGCCCAGAACAGGGTCAGGGCCTCATCTTTCCAGCTCCACATGCCCTGCCCTGTCTTAAGGGTTTATGAGGCCCCTTCCCTAAGATGGTCTTTTCCAGACGGCTTCAGCGGCCCAACCTCACTGACACAGAACGCATGTCCTCACTGTCTCTGAGCTCTGGCGGGCTCTCCTCAGCAAGGGCTAGCTTGCCCGTGTCCACTCGGAAGTGGTCGGCCTTGCTGTTACCGCACACTGATGGGACAGGCCTTTATTCTTCAAAATGAAAACAATTTTACTCAAAATACAATCTCCCAAATGAATGCCTTCAAAATGTGGGTCTGACGGGAAGAAATAAATGATGCTGACAGACCCTGGTTACATTCATCGAATTAAGAACTGGAATGAAAAGAAACAAAAATATGATCTATGATTCTAGAGACAAAGAACAAACCAAAAAACCCCCACTTCATCCAAGATTTCTGGCTCGTGATTTCTCTGACGATTCCCCTGGTACCAGATGCCCGTAAGCACAGATCTGCCTGATGGAGTTCCAGGCACACTCCCTGAAAATCACAGAACACCCAACGTGACAAGCCCCAGGGCAGAGACACCTAGAAGGAAACAAGCTGAGGCCAATTACAGCATCCTGGTTTTGAACGAGTCCATCGTCCTATAAAGAACTGTCAATCCAACACAGGAAACAAGACAAACGTTCTGTGTAAGTACTTGAAACACTAAAGGCAGAGACGACAAGCACTCAGTCAGGTGCCAGCAATCAGACTTGGTATAAAACAATTAAAAAGTTTATTAGCTAAAGGAAAAAATGTTTTAATTCCTCAAAAGTCAATTCTCATGAAGTTCCCCGTAAAACAGTAAGCTTACAGAAAACGTCTTTCTGGTGAACAACAAAAAAACCACTATGCTTTTGGTCCAAGATCTGTTGGGTTGCTTCCTCCTCCTTCAGATGACAGACAGATGGATGTAGCCGAATCTATGAACGAGTGTACTTGCCCCAAATGTGCAACATAAACACAGAAGCGATGAACAGAAGACTCATAACCAATACTGGAACAGGGCCACTAGAAATAAGAAGAGAAGGCATACTTACTTTTGATAATAATATATCATTGTATGTTCAATACGACTGAGTCCCTAGGAAATGGGAGTGGGGAGATACACACTCTGGGGACCACTTAAGATTCATCCAGGAACATAATCTACATCATTATGAAATATTCCCCAAACTGAACTTGTGTGTGTTTTGAGGGTGTTGGGGTGGCCTGGGGATTGTATTTAGGTAGGAGGAGTCCTGTCCTTAGGCAAAGCCACTGAAATGCAGTCAGATGAAATACGTGATGCCTCGGATTGGCGCCGTGTGGGGAGGGTGGGGCAGAGGCAGTGAAACCAGCCAACCAGCCGAGAGCTGCCACGGCTGAAGCCACATGATGGCGCATGGAGGCTCTGCACACTGGTCTCTCTGCTTTCACCTATTTGCTGTCCCCACAAGAAAAGTATGAAGACAGAAATTTGCCCAAACTCCTAAATGCAAATGATCCAGTCACCAAACTCATTTTTCAAATGAAAATTCATCTAAAGACAACCACCTTTGTTGCCTAACCATTACTTACTAGGTATACAAAGATAAGTCTCATGTTCTAATTTAAAGCATTTCAGATATGTGATCAAAAAATATTCATCTCTAGTTAATATCTTTAGGAAAGGGATATTAATTTCTTTTTACGAATATGGAAAACAAAGGCTTAGAGAGATATTTACTTCCTAACAGAGAGCCAAAAAGGAGAGTTCTGACTCGGGGTTTCTGATTTTGACCTACATCACTCATGTGACTGCACTGAGGGGCAGTTTATGCAATATGCAGTACGTCTGATTTCTAGCTATGCATTTTTGGAGCAGGAAGCTTATTTTACTCATCAGCTCATCCCTAAATCTAATATTTTGAGAATTTTAAGGCAAGGATAGGGGCTCTTTTTAAAGGGAAAGCCCAAAGGTCTTACACGGCCTGTGACTAGTTCATGTGAGATGTTACAAGTTCAGTCTCTTTCACTAAGTTTCACCTCATCACCCTAACACAAGTGGGGAGCAGGCGACGGGTGGCCCCTGAGAAGAGTCTTGATAGTCATGGAGGCGACAGGAGAAGCACCGGTGGCACAGCAGGAGTGACAGCATCGACGCACTACGGGACAGTCAGTGACGCCCTGGGCACAAGACCGTATTCCACTACTCCCTTGTTCTCCTACCGGTAGATGCTGCTACGTGAATCGAGGGAGTAACAAATGGAAACGCTGCACTTGCTCCCATGCCCCTACTTCCCAGTAAGTAATACCAGGGACATCAGTCGCTGAACACCCTAACTCACAGCGCAGCTCTGGTCAGAAAGCAAAGGTGCTGGAAACCAGATGTCACACAGGAATGGTGTGCTTGGCCCTGTTACTAGCCTTCTCAAGTCTCATCCGGAAAGTGGAGGAATTCACAGTACCTACCGCCTCAAAGGGTTACTGAGATATTAAATAAACGGATACATAGACAATGCTAGCTTACAGTAGACATGCATTTAAACACTACTACTATTACCTCGACCCCAACAATCACTTTCTAAATGGTCTGACCTTCCTATACAAATCTCCACTATAATAAAAAGGAAAAAAAAACCAAACCAAGAATTTGAGGGATGCCCATATAAACCCTATCTGCAGCCCGAGTAAGCCAGGTGCGTCAATCAGTTAAACGATTCCAGAGGCATCTCGTTTGTTTTTGTAAGTGGCAGCTTTTCCTACCACAAGGCAGTATGGGGAGAGGCTGGGGTTTATTGAATGGTTCCACCTCTTCGCTCTGTTTTGTCTTTGACTATGTCACCTGAGTCCCTCATCCCCAAAGTGTCACCCATTTATTTCACAAGACCACCGGGCAGATCAAACTCCATGCTGAAAGCTCCGTGCAAAGCCCCAGGCCCAAACCAGAGTCATCACTGTTATCCCATCTGTCGCCCACAAGGCTCATCAAGAACGAGAGGTGCACGGGATCCCTAGGGGGTGAGGGCTACTTGCCCAGCACCAATGTGCACAGTGAGTAAGGTGAGCTGAGCTTGGGGACCAGGGCATGCACTGCCCACTGCCCATCACCCAATAAGTTCTCAGAGGCCTAAGAACCTGGGGAGTGGTCTTTCCCTCTCTGGGGCCCACTCACCACCCACTGGGGGCAAGGAGGCCAAGAACTTTTGGTACCTCAGTCTAATGGAGAAACCTCTTCCAGGCTGTAATCCTATCAACTGTGCTTCCGGGAAAGCTGTGAAAAAATCACCCCAATTCCTATTCAAACGGGGACTCCGCTTTCTCAGTGTGGGGCGAGCACACCAAAGGAGGAGCAATCCCTGCTAACACAGCCCGGTTCCCTCCAGTGCTCGCTGTGCACATCACTTGCTTTGACAGAGCTCCACGAAGGGCCGCCCTTCTCTCCCTCCGTGCAGGAAGGGATGTCATTCCCGGGCCTACCCTGTCTCATCCGCTGATAAATGGGCAGCCCAGCCCCAGCCCACCTGGCACAAAGGAGGCCCTGCACAGTGTAAAGCGCATCAAAGCAAGTCCCACTGGTGGAGGTGGCAGAGGGAGCGCGCACCGCGCCCGCACAGGGTCTGGTGCTGAGACTTACACTTTGAGCCCCGGTGAGTCTTCAGTGTAGAAGCGCCACATCCCCCCAGTGCCGGCTGAGGTGGTGCGGCCGGCACTCCGTGTTCCGCAGCTGGCATTTTTCCTGTAGGAGCACAAAGTGTCACAGACTGCCTTTTCTTGGAGATCTCTGCAACAGCACTGATAGCAAATACGAAAATTACAGTTGACAAATTAATGGGGTTTTTTTCTTTTTAAAGTAACCTTTCTCTTGGCGGGCCCTCCCCAAATCCCTGTCTGACTCCTCTGGGCTAGGTAAGATAGCCACCCAGCAGAGTCCCCGCCACACGCCACGGCTTCCAAGAAGCCTGGGGAGCAGGTCTTGCCTCCATCTTCTAAGTGAGGAAAATCAGGCTCAGAAACGGGGGAGACACGTGCTTGAGCCAAGTTCTGACTCCAGGCCCAGCCACCTTCCAGTGTCAGGCCCCCTCAGCTGGACAAGGCCTTTCCGTGTCTCTCCCCAGGTATCTCTTAGAAGCCAACAAAACCTCGCTTTGAATGCTATAACCTAATTTCCCAAAGACTACTTATAACGAGCTTTCAACGTGTCCAGGAAAACAGAGCCTACATAGATGCAAAACTGCCTTGGAATATATATTCTCACTACTTTGATTCATTGCCCATGGATCGCAGATGGGGAAACACGAGGACAGGCTGTGGCAGGCGCTGTGTGAAGCAGAAGTCATCCAACAGCAGGGACGCAACAATGCTTGACCACTGCCAGGCCCAGGCCCCTGCCCTCCCTCCAGGAGTGGCCCTCAGGCCCTGGAGAACGCACTCCAACAGACCAGGTCTCATGCAGCCCAATGCCAATCCCAGCGGGGCATCTCCCTCCAGAGATCGAGGGGGACAGCGAGGGAGTGGCTACTGAGTGGTGAGGGAAGTCAGCAAGCACCTCTTCAGTCCATTCAGCAGCTCAGAAAGCCCAGGGAGGGTGGGAGGGAAAACCTGGATAAAAGGCCCAAGGTCCTGCTGACTCCCTTCAGCCCCAGAAGGGTTCCCAAGGCTGTAAATCGTTGTGGACGAGAGCCTCATCTTTCTCCCTGGGAGCAGCTGGTGAGTTTGGACTGAGGACTTTGGGGTGAGCAGTCCAGCACATAACTGACCTCGCCCCCCAGGGCTCCTCCCTCAGCTGTCTCCTCTCCCTAAAATACTGTTCCAGTGCCTGTGGGCGGCTGAGTCTTGGGCTTTGGGAAAAAAGTAAAACAGAAGTGGCAACCACATTCCTACCATCTCGTCTCACTGCCTGCCCAACTTTGATCATAATCCCCACTCACTTGATGTTATGGACTGAATTCCATGTCCCCACAAAAGATATGCCTACGCCCTAACCTCTGGTACCTATGAGCACGAGGTGATTTGAAAATGGTGTCTCTGAAATGGCATCCATGAACACGAGGTGGGTGGGAGTTATGTAATCTGGCGCCAACTTGAGACTATGAAGAGCGAAGGGGTGGAGTTTAGCCTGTCAATCCGGTCACAGCTTGATGGCCTCATTCAGAGGTGCTAAGGAGATAAATAGTTCGCTGGAGGTGGGACACTCCCTCCCGCCTACACATTCCTGTTTACAAGACACATGGAGCTATGTTAGAGCCCTGCCACTGGAAGACCCACATGGAGATCCCTGCCAGGGCTGAGATGCTTCCACTGCCACTGGATCCACAGGACTTTCCACCCACTGGCCTGTGATCTTCCTGCATTCGGCATCACTGCATGTATTGCATGAGTCTGAAAAGGAATTTATAGATTGGTATGGGACATATGGGCTAATATCAGACTTATGGACTTGATCTGGACTGGGCTGGGATGTTTTCTCAATATACAATTATTCTTCATATGAAGCTCTTTCTTGCACACATAAGTCTCTCTGAAGTTGTTTCTCTGGTCTACCCAGACTGGATTAGAACAGGTCCTAATCTCGCCTGTGAGGCCTTTGTAAAAGGAGGGGAGAGGGGAAAAAGGGGAAAGCCATGTGAAGATGTCTTTACAAGCCAAGCAATACCTGGGCTACTAGACGCTGAGAGACAAGAGCCTCTTGGGAGAGAACGCGACCCTGCCACAGTGTGAATTCAGACTCCTCGCCTCCAGAAGTATGAGTGACTCCTGTTGTGAAAGCCAGCCGCTTTGTGGCAGCTCTCAGAAACTTACCACCCCTGCCACAACCAGCAGCCCACATTCTAAACACCAGCAGCACTGTCTCCAGCTCAGGGCGCCGGCCCTCCTGCACATGGGGTGGTGGTGCAGAACCAACGTTCCAGCAGAAAGAGCTGTGCGTGTGCTGCACTGTTGAGTAGCCCTCCACCATCAGTGCTGAGCAATGATTAATGTCTAGTACACTACAAGGCACTTAATTCAGAGCCATTGATTTTAGGCTACATGGTGATCAGTCTTTATGAGTCTGCCCAGGGACTTTTAACTTCCTTTGTGGATTTATGTTATAAATCATAAATACCGTTGTACGAAGATTTATAGAGCAACTAGTACACACACACACACACACACACACACACACTTAAATGCCTAGCCAAACTCGGAATCAAGTAGATTCTGACAGCTGGAATGAGTGGAGAGGGTAGAACTGCTGCTGTGGGTTTCGAAGATTATAACTCTTTCCATGACTAGAAAGTCTCACCTTTCTCCCACGTAGTGGCTGGTGGTTCTGAACTGCTGACGTTGCAGGTAGCAGGTCACAACATAACCACTATGCCACCAGGGTGCTTGAGAGCATGCGTGTGCACACACACCACTTAATCTGGAAGGTAGGTGGCTCAAATGTTCTCTCTTTCCATAAAAAATAATTTGAGCTACAGTTACGCAGTGTGGACAGGGTAAGTCACCAGCTGACCCAGGACTAGCACTCTCGTACTTTCTGCTCTCCCCACAACAGCCTCCCAACTCCAGTTCCTACCTTCCAAGTCTCCCCGAATGACAGAAACCATAGACTGGCCTCTTTAAGGCTTTTCCTCTTTGCAGACACATGGGGGATAGCAGAGGATTTGAGAACCAGGACACCCAGAAATGCCAACATGTGCCCAAAATACTTCCCATCACCCTCCAGTGGAAAACTGGGGAGAGGCTTAAAGAGAGACCACGTGAACCTTTGAAATTCCTGTTTGGAGTGTAATCTACCCTTTCTTCCTGGTCACTGGGTAACTGCCGCCCTCTTCCTATACCTCAATATGGTGACTGTCATAACTAACCCTTTACCTGCTTTGTTCTGACGTGATGGCTTTCTGGCTCTTGCTCCCAGAAGCCAAGCGGGCCCCCCCCCCCCCACCTCAGCCTGCAACTAACTACGGGAAAGCCCAGGCCTCCATACAGAGCTTCAGGATTGGCTCTCATGCTTTTTACAACCCTCTCAACTGTCAGCTACTCTAGGTGCCCTATCAAAGCACCATCCATGTTCCCTCTATCCCACCGCTCTTTCTCTCAAGCCACCCAACCCACTGCTACTGAGTGGATCCCAACTCACAGCCACCCTGTAGGACAGAGTACAACTGCCTCTGTGGGTTTCCCGGGCTATACATTTGTAAGGAAGCAAAAAGCTCATCCTCCTCTCTCCCATGGAGGGACTGCTGGATTTGAACCGCTGGCCCTGCAGTCAGCAGCCCAACATGTGCTCCGCTACACCACCAAGTCACTTTCTTTACCCCGACCAAACATTATTTGTCTTGATAGCCCTAAAATCACATGATTGCTTTGTCTTTTTTAACAGTCCCCACACCAGAACACCAAGCCAAACCAAACTCACTGCCATCAAGTCAATGCTAACTCATGGAAACCCCCTGTGGTTTCTGAGGCTGTACCCATTCCTGGGAATATACAACGAGGCTTCAAAATGATCCGTTAAAAAAAGGAATGAATAAATAACGGAATTTTCCCACAAATTTTATGACACTTTCTCACGTAAGGCTCATGAGCACAACCCTGCCTGTCTTATTCACAGATCTGTCCTCAACAGTGCCTGGCATGTGGTGGCTCCACAGTGGCTAATCTTCTAATGACCTTAATGCTCCAGACCCCAGTCCTGCTCCAATACTATTCACCCTTGAAAGTTTACAACGCAGTTGTGTTCCTTTCATTTTCACAGCAGCTTCCCTTTACACTGTAGTCAGCAGGACTAGACTTCAACCCAGGTCTGACCTTAAACTCCATTCCATTTTCTCTCCAAGGTACTACGTCTCCTACCTAATTAAACAGAGAAACAATGCCAATTTGCATACAAAATGAAAATAGGATTGGTCATGTGCTTCAACTTTCAGATTCACAAAGTGCAAATTCTCAGACAACAGTACTTAACTACATGACACTCATGAAATAACACATAACCAGTGACAAAATGCCTATAAGGGGGCATAGTTGGGTCTCGCACTACGTATAACCATGGTCTGGTTGTACAATCACACTAGCCTTAGCCACACTGAATCCTAAAAGATGGCACCAACCCCACAGTGCACTTTAGAAGCTGCATCTTCCCTAGCTGTGTATTGCACTAAGGCATCAGTTAAATCATTTTGTGTGTTTTGGACTTTTTTTTCTCCTGTAAACTAATCTTGCCATTAAAAGATAAACTTGGAATTCATCTTTAATAAGTTATGAACTGTAATAGCTAGGTTTTTGGGTCAATTTGGCAAGGTCAAAATTCTCTGGCTTAGCAGTTAAGACCTAGCAATCCCCCATGAGGTGACCTAATGCAAAGTACCACTTGCATAACAGAATCTGCTACAAGCAGCCAATCAGTTGTAATGAGACTGAGCAAAGATGCAACCCACTTACTCTCATCACCACCAGAGGTGATCCATTGATCATTTCCTCAGGGGAGTAGCCTGCTTCCAATACACGTGGACACGACAGAAAAGGTTGTTTCCTTTTGGCTGAGTCTGGATCCTGTGTCTGGCTCATCGACCTCCAGTTCTTTGGGGCTCATATAAACTAACCCCCAGCAGGTCCCCCCGCCCCCCACAAGTTTCTGTGAATCCCTGTGATAGCAAACTCTCCACTGTTCAGGACAAGGTCACCATTTCAGACAGCTGTATCTAAACGTCTTTGCTCTGAACTGAAACATGTCTCCTCTAACTTCAAAGCTCAGTTACAGGCTTACGTGTGTAGCCAAGATGGGCAAACAGATGGGGCTTTCTACTGCCATAACGAGGTACAGTCTCAGAGATTCACCAGAGAAGTTCTACCTTGTCCTCAAGCAGTGGTTCTCAACCTCCTTAATGCCACGACCCTTTAATACAGTTACTCATGTTGTGGTGACCTCAACCATTAAATGATTTGTGTTGCTACTTCATATCTGTAATTTTGCTACTGTTATGAATCGAGTGATCCCTGTGAAAGGGTTGTTCAACTCCCAAGGGGATCGCAACCTACAGGTTGCGAAACGCTGCCCTAGAGGGTTGACAACAGTGAATGAGATAGTAGCCAAGGGGTGACCTCTGACACAATGTTAAAACACACAGCTGCTAAGCAAAAGGTTGACAGTTCAAATCTACCAGCATGCTCCAAGAGAGAATGATGAGGCAGTCTGCTTCTATGAAGATTTAGAGCCTTGGAAATCCTATGGGGCAGTTCTACTCTGATCTTATGATCAGAAGCGACCTGGTGGGCTTGAGGCCCGAGAAGAAACATTCCTTCTTTGATCATACCCTTAGACAGTTGTCACTCACAACCTGCCCAGTCTTCAATAGGTAAAAATCCCAACACAACAGGGTCGCTGGAGTCTTTCAATCCTTCATCATTTATTGTTGAGTCTGACCCTGTGATGAGAACTGAGAACTGGAGATTGAGAAACTAACTAGCTGCTACTGCCTGTCTGTAAAGGAAATCATTCCTGAGTTTAGTCTTGAGCAATACATGGAGATCCAGGCAGAAGGGTTAACAAGAAGGCCTAGGGCCACCAAATGGGCTAATAAGATCTGAAACAGAAATAAGCTCCACAGCTAACGGATCTCTAAAGTGAGCCGTAGGCCATCCAAAGTCTCATCCCATTTTCAAAATCCAGCAACAGGAAACTAGCAGAGGGTTTTTTTACGCCCAAGAGTGACAGCTGTTGAGTGGAGGACAGATTTACAGGGGAGGAGAAGTACCAAATGCAGAGAATTCAGCTGAATGGCTGGGGGATAAAAGGTGGCAGTGGAAACCGGGAAGTAAAAAACTGATGAGAAGAACGCTGTCGTGTTGACTTAAAGTCTGGTAAATGATTGGACAAAGAGAGCAAGAGACATCTACCGAAGCTTCTATCTTGGGTGGACGAGTGAATGGCAATGTCCTTGGAAATAAATAGAGGTATAACTTGGGGGCCCAAAAGAGCCTACGTTTTGTGTCAAGAGAAGTTAAGCTAAATGACGTACATCTGGGACCTCTGGGCCAAAATGTGTGTACACGGCTCAGCTTCAGAGCCACGAGCTTGGAAATACCAATCCTTCCCAGCTGTTGGCTGACCCCAGTCTGTTAACGTTCTTTTAAGTGTTAGGGCCCGAAACTGAGTGTATCCAAGAGGTCAGCAATTCCCGCTACTGCCACGTCGCTTAAGGCTCAAATGGGTGGATTCCGAAATCCCTAGCTCTCCCTTCTGTCCTGTCGCGCCGAACCCACAGCCCTGTGGGTCTCGCGGATGCTCACCTCTGCCGGACGGTGGATCCCGCCGCCCGGGCGGCCACTGCTTTGCTGGGAGAGCGTCCAGAGGAGCCCACGTTAGTGCCGCTGGGGGTCGGACCAGGCTGCAGTGGGAGACAAGAGGGCGGACCGATCAGCTCCGCGAGCCCAGGCCCTGACAGCTGGGCCCCCACCCGCAACGGAGACTCGGGGCAGCGAAAGAGACACGAAGAGAAAACAGGTAGAAGCCAAGGAGCCTGGGAGACGGAATCAAGTAGGGGAGGCTGAGACCACCATACCATGCTGGAAACTGCAGGCTGGCAGCAGGCTGAAGCGGGCCGCCGGAAGCTGAGTAGCCTGCAAAAGACAGGCGGCTGGGGAGACTAGCTCAGGCCCCGCCCCCAGACCTGCTGGCAGGGTCCTCGTTGACTCCAGGACGCCTGGGCTGTCCACACGATTTGCCTGTATAAAAGTTCTCTCCAGGCGTCTTGGTCAGCTGTTATATGGAAAGTACAGACCTATAGCTCCTTAATTTGTACAAAGAGCCCTTTCTTTAGTCCAATCCCTACCATGAAAGAAGGTACATCCAATTTCGGGCAAGAAATTGTATCCGGCAGTTCCTAGGCGCCCACAGATGTAGGCTGATGTGGCCTAACCGATTTACGCACGGCGGGGCGGGGCCGGCCTCCCAGTGGCCGCTGGGAGCCCCGGAGGCCGGGCACTTCCGGAAGCTCTACTGGGTACCAGACGCACGGCAGCTCCCAGGCAATGGCAGGGGAGCCGGACCACGACTGGGGCCCGGGGCCCAGCCCGTCTGTGCTTTTCCTGCACCCGGACTTAGGCGTGGGTGGCGCCGAGCGGCTGGTGCTGGACGCGGCGCTGGCCCTGCGGGCGCGCGGATGCGACGTGCAGATATGGACCGCGCACTACGACCCGGGCCATTGCTTCGCCGAGAGTCGCGAGCTGCCGGTGCACTGCGCGGGGGACTGGCTGCCGCGCAGCCTGGGCTGGGGCGGCCGCGGCGCTGCGCTCTGCGCCTACGTGCGCATGGTCTACCTGGCGCTCTACGTGGTGCTGCTCAGCGGCGTGCAGTTCGACGTGGTGGTGTGCGACCAGGTGAGGCATCCACAGAGCTGCCCTCGACCTGGCGGAGCCCCTGTGCCAGTGCGGCCACGCCCCTGTCCTCGCTGCCCTTCCTTTTCGTTTTATGGAGTTGCACCGCTTGATCCTTTGAGTACGCCTTCCCGCCTGTGCTTTGGAAAGACCCGAACTGATCAGCTGTGGGTGGGAATACGGTTGTCAACCTTTAGTGTTGGCACGCATAGCAGATTCCAGGCACCCACCCTCAGGATTTTTCTTCCTGGAGTCCTCGGATGGATTCCAGAAATCTGCATTTTAACTGAATCACGGTTCTCAAACTCCCGCCTCAAGAAACACTAGCTTTACCAGCTGTTATTTCTGAGGAGCTCATATCTTCTTCCCCTTCCCCACCATTTCTAAGGACTCTACTTTTTAAGTCACATGCATTTCACTAGCCCACGGAGCCCGGTCACCCCACCCCACAGCAGTGCCATGTTAGGAACACCAAGCAAAACATCTCTTGTTTGTAGTAAAACTTTAAACATGACTCCCCACTGCACTCTGGAGAAAAGTCCAAGTTCTTTACCTTGGTCAATAAAGCACACCTGGAGGGAGCCCTTGTGGTGTCGTGGTGGGTGGGTGTGCATGGCTGGCAGTTCGAAACCACCAGCAGCCCTCTGGAGACAGACAGGGCTTTCCACTCTGGGAAACCGTTACAGCCTCAGAAACCCACAGGGGGTCGCTATGAGTCCGCACTGACTAGATGGCAGTGAGTTTTTGAGTTTGGCCCTAGCCTCTAGTTATTCTGAACTTTTCCTTTCTTATGCTACACCCCAAGGTTGCTTTTAAGTAATATGCACTGTTAAAATTCCAAGTAGTATAAAAGGGAATCAATGTAAAAGCCCCACCCCGGTTTCATTCCTTGATCCTTCCAGAAATGCCCTTGACTGGGCGTGTTTGAGCTTCTAGATACCTAATGGAGATTTGAACACATTGACTGCTTAACACATTTTACTACTGGAAGAAAGGCCCGACAGCCTCCTGCCCAAAAACCAGCCCATGAAAAACCCTGTAGGTCGCCATGGCCCAGCCCCTCTGTGTACAACATCACCTGTCTTGGAGACCATTGGACAGCTTGGATTGTCTCCGCCAAAAATTTCTATTCTAGGCATCAATATCAATAGAGAGTTGCTTCCTTCTTTGCAACTGAGTTGATTCTGACTCATAGCAACCCTGCCAGCACTGCCCCTTTGGATTTCTAAGGCTGAACTTTCTAAGCGTGAACTTTCTTCCATGGAGCAACTGGTAGATTCGAACTGCTGACTTTGCAGCCCAACACATAACCCACTACACCACCATCATTTTTTGTACTGGTTAGAAAATTCACTTTTGTTTGCATATAAAACAACACGTTTTTCTGTTAAAGGACACTACTGTCTTGGCCAGTTTTTTTGTGACTAGATTGGCATTATGGGGGGCTGGTAGTCTGTTGGTTGGGGAGTCCTGGAAACATGTCTTAGGAATAGATTCCTGGGGGGAGGGGGTTGTTGGGCTGAAGAGTGTTCATTTTTAAGTGCCAAAAGCTGTTGCCAAATGTGCCTTTCAAGGAGGTTCTGACATTTTATTCCAACCATGTATATTTAGCACTCACCCAGCAAATGCCTGCCAGCCTCCGATACGCCATCCGTTGTACTGGGTGAGTAAGAGTAGGAGGTTACACAGAGCAGCTTCCGCCACCATCCAGGAGGAGCCTGTGGACTTGCCACCAGGGTGAGTGTCTGCTCTTGGTTGGTCAAAGTGGGGCTGAGCTGTCCCTTTAAGTGCTGTGGTTTTTGCTTTTAGGTATCTGCTTGTATCCCAGTGCTCAGGCTGGCCCGACGCCGGAAGAAGATCCTATTTTACTGTCACTTCCCAGATCTGCTGCTCACCAAGAGAGATTCTTTTCTTAAATGGCTCTATAGGGCGCCAATTGACTGGATAGAAGAGTACACCACAGGCATGGCCGACTGCATTGTGGTTAACAGCCGATTTACAGCTAGTGTTTTTAAAGACACATTCAAGACCTTGTCTCAAATAGAGCCCGATGTCCTGTATCCATCGCTGAATGTCACCCGTTTTGACTCAGCTGTTCCTGAAGAACTGGATGACCTAGTTCCCAAAGAGAGACCATTCCTATTCCTCTCCATCAACAGATATGAGAGGAAGAAGAACCTGCCCCTGGCACTGCAAGCCCTAGTAGAGCTGCGTGGACAGTTGGCATCCCAAGACTGGGACAGGGTGCACCTCATCATAGCGGGTGGTTATGATGACAGAGTCCTGGAGAATGTGGAGCACTATCAGGAGTTGAAGGCGATGGTCCAGCAGTCTGACCTTGGCCAGCACGTGACCTTCCTGCGGTCTTTCTCGGACACACAGAAGATCTCGCTCCTACATAGTTGCATGTGTGTGCTTTACACACCAAGCAACGAGCACTTTGGCATCGTCCCTCTGGAGGCCATGTACATGCAGTGCCCAGTCATCGCTGTTAATTCAGGCGGGCCCCTGGAGTCCATCCTGCACAACGTCACGGGGTTTCTGTGTGAGCCTGACCCAGTGCGCTTCTCAGAAGCCATGGCAAAGTTCATCCACCAGCCTTCCCTGAGAGCCACAATGGGACTGGCTGGGAGAGCCAGAGTGCAGGAGAAGTTTTCCTCGGAAGCGTTTGCTGACCAGCTTTACCGGTATGTCACCTACCTGCCGACGTCATCGGGTTCCCCTTCATAAGCTCTGCACACCACCGGCGTGGGAAACAGGTGTACAGTTGGGAGACCTGAAGTCAACAAAGAAGCCTAGAACCTTACAAACAAACAAACCCTTGAGCTACCTTTCTAGACACCATACCTTCCACCCTTCAGGGGAGGGGAAAAAAAATCTCAAATGCTCCAATCAGTCCTTAGCTTACCAGTGTTAAGGTACAAATGTGCAATCCCTCGTATGGCAGAAGGCTTTCATTCTGTTTCTTCTGGGTTATTACTAGGCTGCCACTTCATTTTGAATCCCATCTGCCTTCATTGGTTTTGATCGTCTGTGCCTCCTTCTCAAAGTTGATTGCGTTGACGTCAGCATACCGGAAAGAATTCCTGTCGTTCCCAGAAACCTGAGTGTCAGCTGTCCTTGTGGGAGATGGTGTCCCTCGTTCTTTCGCCTGGATCCTTAGCAAGAGTACGCTGTATTTGTTTGCACGGATGTGGGTTTGTTTTGTTGTTGTTGCGTGTAGAGACCTAACAATAAAAGGAGGGGATCTCACATGGAAGACAATAAAATTTTAGGTTTTGGCCTCTCTTGGTCTATTTTGTCTTTTTAGGAACGTAGATGTAACAGCCAAGCTGAAGATGGAAAGCAAGAGTCACCCAGGTTGGGGTGAAGGGAGTGTTGGCAATCATGCAGTGTGCATCTTGCCCTGGGCCGGCATCTTAATGTCACCTGAGTCGGACCTCCAGCTTTGTTGATATTAGTGTGTTAGGACTAACTGTGGGACACCAATGCCTTTTATCCTTCAGGACCTTGTTCAAACGCCACTGCTCTGAAGGTTTCCTGCCTGTCACACTGGAAGAGCTCCTCCCTTCCATCTACTCCAACCCTTTCAGGGCACTGAGCAGCCATAGACGTCACGATTTTCCTGTTAACTACCAGCAGCCCGGGCTCCTCACTGCTAGCAGACACTTTACTCGTATCTCCCCCAAACTAGCTTGGTGAGTAAGCAATGTTTGTTGAAGAACTAAGTAAGCAGGCACTAGTTTTCAACATGCCTTTACAAGGCTAAGGCAAAAAATATTGCTACAAAGTCATAGAAACATTATTAAAAGATCACCAAAATATAAAACATAGCTTCCATATATGCCTAGACACTCCTGAAGTGTTTCATTTCCTCTCCGAACAATCTCGCACTCCAGCGCAAGCGATATCAAAAGATAGTTCACCATCCTCGAAGGACTCAAATTGTGTTAGGTTCTTTGAGTTTGGGAAACAGAAGTCTGAAGGGGTACGACGGGCTGAAGGGTAACTAGGTTAAGGTTTCTCATGGGGATTCTCATAAGACAGCCCTTGCTACCTTTGATGATGGGGAAACAATCCCTTGGGTCAACTTCATTAGCCTTTTCCTCAGTAGTACAGTTTCCCATGTTCTTAAAACTTATTAAGTAAGCTCCCATGATCAACCTGTGTCCCTGGACTAGAGCAATTCCCAAAATGCGTCACCAAACCCTCTGAGCTGACCACTATCTTGAACCGAACTAGCCCAGCAGATGCGCTCGGAACCACTGTTTTGAGTGAACCTTTTTTTAACCCCCCAAGGCACCAAAAATACGTGTAACAGGTCGGTCTACAGCCATCCACGTATCCCCAAGCTAAGGTCAGAGAGATGAGTCCATGTGCTTCCTTAAAGGATTACAGCCTCAGAAACTAAGGACACTGAGTCGGCATTAACTCGATGGCAGTGGGGTGGGCAGCTGCAGAGCCCTGCCTGTCAAGAGGTTCTGAAGTAACTTCCCAGCCCCTGGACCACGGAAGGAGCTTTCCCCATAGAAGGTGTTCACAGCTTCTGAAACAGCTGGAGTCAGGGGCCATAGAAGCATGGAACATTGAAGGTGGACAGTATTTTTTCTAGTACTTAACTCTGTGCTAAGCATGTGATATCTGGCAGCCAACTCATTCTAACCCCACAGGAGTCCCAGGAAGTACAGCTAACTCTTTGGCGGGGTGCTTGGGAGAAGGAAAACCAGAGATGCTGGTTTAGAAAGATGTAGATCAGCAGTGACTCATGCAGTCTTAGAAGTTGACAACTCCATGGGTCAGATGTAAGCTGGCAGCTTCTGACTGGTTTAGCTTCAGGGACTGATGAACAGGAAGCAGGAGGATTGTAGGCTGGTAGATAGAGTGGAATGAACCCAGGTCAGCTGACTGCTGAAGACTCCTAGGATCAACAACAGGTGTATGAACCAGATGCAGGATCCGGATCCAGCCGAAGAAGTGAACTAACTTCCCACGAGGTGTCCGTTTACGCTCAAGAGTAGGTTACACCCAGAAGGAATCCTTTCTCCGTTGTATCAAGGCTGGCCAGACCAAAGAGATGGTATTCCCCTCTGTTATTCCCACAGCTGGTTGCCTCACAGAAGATCCATCCCGCTGTGGGGTTGACCACTCTGTTAGATCATATCATAGAAGAGTCTTGACCCAGCCAAGTTGACAAAACCTATCACAATAATCTGACCACTTTACGTGAGGTGGGTAAGTCACTGGGCCAGTGTGACCCAGCTTTGAAGTTGAATGGGCTGGTATTAAATCTGCTCCTAGCGCCCAAACCCTTCACCATCTTCACACCCGCTGCCTTAGCTCGCACCAGCTTCCTGGCATTTCTTCAGCTCCCTCTACAGCACTGCAGTCACACTGATTCATACAAGACCTTGGTTTTCAAAAGGCTTGGCTATTTTCTCCTTGTTACTGTGAGGGAACTCTTGTGCCCATTTTCCACAAGATCATCAGAGAGGCAAACTTAACCCAGGGCACAAAGTCACAAAGGGACAGGAGCCGGATTCAGCCCATGATTGCCTGACCCCATCCAGAACTCACAACACGTTACAGGATTCCTCAGGCTGCTCCTCTTGATATGTCCTGCCACGCTTCAGGAAATTCAAAATAAACACACCATTCTGAATGAGCGCAAAGTTAGGGGACCAGGAGTTTTGTCTTCTCACCCTCTGACCCTGAAGTGACAGTGACACCCCCGACCCCGTGCCAGCCGCTGTGGGGATTGATCCACTTAAGTTCAGTTCAACACTTCACAAGTCTGCTTCTCTCCATCAGTCATTGCTTTCAAGAAGCCAAAATGTAAGTCATTTTAGCACCAGAGTCCGTAAGAGTTGATTGTTTTGAGGAAACCAAGCCAGAAACGAGGTGAGGCCCTTCCAAAGACACATGAACTGGGAATCAAAGCGCTCCCTCTCAGGTGGCTGTGTTCCTGTTTGTGCTTACTCACCTGTGCTCACCTATGCACAAGATGGTTGCCCAACCTCTGACCTTCCAGGGATGCAACGATCACCTATTAACTCAAGTTTGATACCTATATGTACACAGGAGGGTGGCATGGATAGAGCTAGGCTTCACTTACAAATGGAGTCAAGAAATCCAATGACCACAAAACACACTCCTATGGCTAAGAGGATTTATTAGAGGAGTCAAGAAGTTAACAAGTCAGGATCTGTAAACAGTAAGAATAGAAACATTGGTCTACTTGGCTACTGTCAAGTCTCTGGCTCACAGCCTCTCAAGCCATGTGGTAGACAAATCTCTCTCTAGTCCTCCATCTCTCAGTCAAGTGGTCCCTTAGCCTTGGGCCCCACTGACCAGTAAGGCAGCCTACTGGCCACTGTCCCACATTTCTGTACTGTTCGGACAGTCTTACCCCATAGTCTCAGAACTACTCCTCTGGGTCTCCATGCTATGATGCATCTGGTCTCAGTGGCCTCCCCCACCTCAGAGATTTTGAATGTGCCCTTCCAAGGTGCTTGAGCTGTCTCCCTCACAAAACACTGTTTTTTTAAAATCGTTTTATTGGGGGCTCATACAACTCTTACCACAATCCATACATACATCTACTGTGTCAAGCACATTTGTACATTTGTTGCCATCATCGTTCTCAAAACATTTGCTTTCTACTTGAGCCCTTGGTATCAGCTCCTCATTTCCCCCCTCCCTCATAAACCCTTGATTATTTATAAATTATTATTGTTTTGTCATGTCTTACACTGTCCGACGTCTCCCTTCACCCACTTTTCTGCTGTCCATCCCCCAGGGAGGAGGTTATATGTAGATCCTTGTAATTGGTTCCCCCTTTCCACCCCACCCTCCCTCCACCATCCTGGTATCACCCCTCGCATCACTGGTCCTGAAGGGATCATCTGTCCTGGATTCCCTGTGTTTCCAGTTATCTGTACCAGTGTACCTCCTCTGGTCTAGCTGGATTTGTAAGGCAGAATTGGGATCATGATAGTCGGGGCAAGGAAGCATTTAAGAACTAGAGGAAAGTTTTATGTTTCATTGTTGCTACACTGCACCCTAACTGGCTTATCTCCTGGTGACCCTCCTGTAAGGGGATGTCCAGTTGACTACAGATGGGCTTTGGGTCTCTACTCTGGACTCCCCCTCATTCAAAATGATATGAGTTTTTGTTCTTTGATGCCTGATACCTGATCCCTTTGACACCTCACGATCACACAGATTGGTGCTTCTTCCACGTGGGCTTTGTTGCTTCTGAGCTAGATGGCTGCTTGTTTACCTTCAAGCCTTTAAGATCCCAGGTGCTATATCTTTTGATAGTCTGGCACCATCAGCTTTCTTCACTACATTTGTTTATGCACCCGCTTTGTCTTCAGTGATCTTGTTGGAAAGGTGAGCATCATGGAATTGTTAGGTAGTCTAGCATAGGTGCTGGGGCATCCATAACGAATGCCCAGAGGGCAGAGCTTTGGAAACAAAGGAGTGGCACACTACACATACTCCGAGGCTCAGGTTTGTCACCAGGTACGCGTGGGTGGGTGCTGCCCCTGGATTGGCCCACCTGGGCCAGGTGAATTTAATTCAGCCAGTGAGGTCGACCAGGGGCCGTCCACCATGCCTCCCTGTGGAATAATTGAAAAGGCAGGAGCCCGGAATTGACCGCTGACTTTGCAAGCAGGTTCCAGGCAGGCTGCATGTTCAGGAAGAGCCCTGTGGGGGCCTGTGTAAACCTGAAACTTCTTCTAACGCTCATAAAACTCACTTGGATCACAAACCAGGCTTTGTCGTGAATTCTTTCTCGCGAAGAGCCAAGGACGGAGGTATATCTCTCCCCCTGAGAGATCTAACATAAGGCCAGGTTAATAGAACAAAGTCTTCTTGCATTGAGGGAGTACTTGAGTGGAGGTCCAATGTCCATCTGTGACCTTAATACTAAACCTATAACTATATGCACATAGATTTATTTCCCCGTCCTCATATATAAATATATGTACATATGTACATGCTTGTATTTAGACCTCTATAAATGCCCTTTGCTCCCTAGTTCTTTCCTCTATTTTCTTTTACTTTCCTCTTGTCCCACTGTCATGTTCAGTCTTCATTTGGGTTTCAGTAACTCCTTTCAGCAAAACACTATTTTTTGAATCAACGATGCCATTGTCTTTCATAGTGCCCATTTCCTCCTTGCAACAGGAAGCATGGCAACTAGAACCCAGAACCCTTCAGCTATGGTGTCCATCACAGCCAGGAACTGGCCTCTTTCTCAGAACTGGAAAAGGCATCCGT